AAACAGGATAAAGGCGACTGACTAGTTTGCACTTTGGTTGTGGTTAATTTGACCAACAACAAACCGGTGTGAGAAGAATCTTCCCTTGAACAACGGCCTGGTTTTACGTCTCAGGTGTGGACCGACAGAGAATGAAAAAACACTGAGAATCTTGAGAAGTTTCGGCACAAACGTATGTTTTGCAGTGACCATTGCGCCTGCCCAGGTGGTAGGTATATCGATGTGAGGATGAAAATTCTGCTGTCGTGCCCTTTGACCACGGCGGTAAACAATCCTCGAACATCCAAGGCACAGGTCGCCTCCGAAGTCCCCGCTTCGTCAATTAGTCAATGAGTTTAGGTTGTGGTCTTTGGGTTGGGCGGAAGGAATAGAATGATACGTATCACAGATTCAAAAAAGGAAGTGGCAGAGGAATTAGATGGTCGATGGATATTGAACGAATTTGTTGGGGGCACAAAACATGCTTTGGTCATTATCACTATCATCACCATCGAAGACAGCAACATCCCTGTTGACATAGGTGCTTCACTGCCATAGAGCTACAGAATTCATCCAATTATATTCAAAGCTTGAGAGTGAAAGGAAGATAAAGGATGGGTGAGAAAACGAACCTGATATTTTCCCGTCGCAAACATTCTCAGGTGGCTACAGCTCAAAACGTTCAAACAGAGAGACGCTGACAGCGCAAATGCCACTGACACCGATCAGCTGTGATTAAATGTTGATGTTTCCAGTCGAGCTAAGGGGATGAAGGATAACGGGACCTTGTAGCGGACTAGGACCTAACCAGCGTGTTCGGATAAATTAACAGGCAAAAGTAACCAATGCAAAATCACAAAAATCACAATAGGAAAGGAATGAGTAGTCCAATGGGGACTCACGAATGCGTAGGTTCAGTAGTCCACTACACCGATCCGAATGCAGTAACTGGCTGTGAGAGGAAAATATTCACTCGTCGAGATTTCCTGCAGATGGCTCCGTGTGAGTGATATATTCCACGGTAGGAAAATTATTCACGGCTAAAAAAAT